TACTTCGTTTGGATGACATAGTAGAGTGTTAAGATTAATCATATTCGTTATTGTAAACCGCGCTTAAGTTAGGCGCCATCTATTCATTTCTTTTGTATGTCCGACGATCAAAAGACCGCTTGGGATCGAGTCTGTTTATAATTTGAAAGGTAATCTTGTCAGTTGTATATACAAAAGGTAAATTGTTTACAAAATGAGTCTTTGTTTATTATCTGATAAATGTATACTTTTTTGTCAATTGTTCATGATTGCAGATGCCTTTTGTGTAAAATCCAAGTCGGATGTATGTAAGCTAATAAATGTTCTCGTTAATCTTATCTCGCCTTTTGGTTCGTTCACGGTTACAAGAAATTACCGCATAGAGTCTCTTGAGTCTCCGTAGATATAACAAACAGAAATAAATTACACAAAATAAATTGTAGCTTTGCGTCGATTCTGCGCGACATGTCCGAACATTAAGCTGAACAATAGTGTGGGGGGAGTGAATAATCAAGAGTTGCGTGGCGCTGAAATAAAAGATGAATCGACGAGATTTGAAAATCGCGTAAGTCGGGGTATGACTGTATATGTAATCTAAATACAAATAACTGTTTCTATTGTTGCAAATGAAAGATAGAAGTTGTTTTTCTTTTCGAAAATTAACTTTTCAAATTTCTTTTTGAAAAATAACATAGCTTTTTAAAGGAAAAAGTGAGAAACTTACCTGTTTTGCTACATATTTCATCATAACTCTGACTCCCAGTAAAATGCTTTATCAAAGAATTTTTATTAGTAGCCATTGAGTCAGCTGACAATAAGACTGGATATTTTTGTAATCTTCTTATTAATCCATGCATTAAACCAAATTGTATTAATTTCCTGCATAAATGAAAAAAAATTGAATTTATAAAATAAATTATAAAAGTAATTTTTTAATTTATTTAATTTACCTTTCATCGATCCCATTCAAATGTGGATTATTTCGAGTGCATAAATCTTTGACCGTTATTCCTGGCCTTAAGCCACAATAAAATTCAAATATTGCTTTAAATGTAGGTTTTTGATGACCTAGAATAAATAAATATATATATATATATTATCTTTTAAATATAACAAAGAATAAAATAATTATGTTAAGTAAATTTACCATGCTTAGCAACGTATTTTATACATTTTTCTTGAAGATGATTATCTTTGGTTAAAGAGGATATTTTTGAAGTTGGAGTATAAACATTTGAATATTGAAAGATTGGGATGAGGGAAACAACTTCGTAATACCTTTCAAATATATACATTTATATAATTATTGAAAGAGTATTATATTAATGTATATTTTTATTATTATGTTAAAATAATTAACTAAAAAAACTAATTGGCATATATATTATAATTATTTATTTATTCAATAATAATGCTTTAGAATCATCAGTATCAATTTGTATATATATATATATATATATACTAGCAGGTGGGCCCGGCGTTGCTCGGGCAAAAGTAACGATAACTAAGATAAAGATTATTATGTTACAGTCAACCTTACCCGTTTTCACAGAATGCAAGAATTGGGTCCCCTTAGTTCCAGACTAATTAGACAATTTTTAGATGGGTCTAAAAATATGTTCGATTTCCCGCAAAAACGAAAAAAACTGCATCTGCGTATTGCACGTCGCTTTCTCTTAACAATTCCATTGTTACGTAACATTTCCATTGTTGACACTTCCATTGTTACTTAAAACTTTTATTGTTACTTAACACTTCCATTGTTACTTAACACTTCCATTGTTACTTAACACTTCCATTGTTGATGGAAGTGTTAAGCCTTAATCCTGTCCCTCTTCCCCGTGGGGAGGAATTTCGAAAAATCCCTTCTTAGTGTGCGTTCTCCTAACGTACCCTAACTGTGTACCAAATTTCAACTTTCAACTCCTAACCGTTTGGGCTCGTATTCATAATGTATATAGAAGTTTTAATCCTATCTCTCTCCCCCGGGGGGAATTTCGAAAAATCCCTTCTTAGTGTGCGTTTTCGTGATGTACCCTATCTGTGTACCAAATTTCAACTCCTAACCGTTTGGGCTCTGCGCTTATTATTATTATTATTATCATCAACCCGTCTCGATTATATATTAGATATATAGGGGACAGGCCAATTAATGAGTAATAAAAATTTCTCATTGTCAGATTTTGAGTAGATATAAAAAATTAAGGCATACCTGTTGTGTACAATACTCATTTCTGCTTCTAATTTTTGTAGTATGGTATAAAGTAAATGTATGTTGGGAGTGGGGATAATTTGAAAGTACATAAATATTGGGGGAATATGACCTCTCTATCCCATATAGATATATGCCCATAATTAGAATGTTTTACGAGTGATGATAATGGTTCATTGTAAGGCATTAATGTTGATATCCAGGCAGTGATGACCATAGTACTCAGCCAGCATTTCAATGAAATAAGTGTCTGTATGAATGATAAAAGTGACATGAATGGTACATAATCAACAGGCAATTCTATTATAATTTTAGGAAACATATTATCAAATTGCTTTTAAATGTGTTAAAACAGCACTTTAAGTAGTTCAATTAACTGAATGTAAATAATCATTTAAATTTTGTTATTTTATAAAAATAATCAATTATACTTTTTAATAACACAAAATAATCAATTGCAGTTTTTAATATTGTTTTTTTCTTAAACAATAGTCAATAGAGTTTAATTAATATTGCTACCAAATTTAGAACGTAGACCTAAATGCCATTAATTATTAATAATTTCTAAATAAAATTCAATATGAATGAATAAAATAGTAGAAAAATTATAAAATGCTTTTAACATTGAACACTTCACTTTTTAAGAATAAGCTTCTCCTGTAAGATTTTGCTGTACTCTTTTTTAGAATCCTTTTCATGTAAGCAAACAATAAGAATATCATCCAAAATGCTGATCCACATTAGATTACAATACAAGGTCCGGTAAGTGTATTGGATTTTATGGGAACCTAGGAGCTTTTGTTTAAATGAAGTCCCTCTTTCATTCAATTTAAAAAAAAAAGCAACAAAGACTGGATGCTCTCGAAGAACATCAACAATGCTTATAATTCAAGAAACAATTAAGTAAGAACTAACTGACAGCAAACCTTTTGTATTGTGTTACAAGGAAAGACTTAAGACATACAGTGGTACCTCAAACTTCGAATGACTCTAACTTCAAATGCTCCAGAGTTTGAATGAAACATTCAACAAAAATTCATTTTGGAGTTCGAACAATGCTTCAAAATTCAAACTGTGCACACAGTGAAAAAATGCACTCAAAACATAAAGCAATCTATTGTGTGTCCAGTTTCTCTCGCTCTCACATTATGCTTACATATTTTCAGTGCTTTTTTCACTTTATTTTTGGTTTGTTTGGTTACATATACTCTATTGTGTATTATTTGTTGATTTTTAACAATTTCTTTCTTCAATTTTTCTTTGTCAACATCTCTTCCATGGACAATGAGAAAGTGCTGGACATTTTGTATTATTTATTTCAAAATTTCCTGAACAGGATTTTTTAAATCACATTTGATACAATTACATTAAATCATAAAGTTTACGAACATTTTCCCATACACATTACAATTGTTTTTATTGTTTATACGCTGTTATATCCTATTTGAAAGTCATAAAATATAATATGCCTGATATGCTTTTTATCTGAAGAAATTACAATTTGATTTTATCCAAACAAAATGTGAAGTAAAGAGTTTATAGTAAAACTTTAAACAAAGAATAAAATTTCATATTTTCTATAATATGTTAAATTTCACAACTATTTTAATGAAATCACACATCTATGTTAAGATGCTGAAGTTCACTGTATGTGACCAATAAATGCCCTTTTCATTTTATTATACAGTTTTCATGTTTTAATTTATTATTAAAGCATTGAATTATGTTGTTTTAACCTTAAATTATGTGTAATTGCTATCTTAAGTTTATCAAAATGGGTATTGTTTAGGGTCTGGGAATGGATTAATTCACTTTCCATTATTTCTAATGGGAAAAATTAATTTGGACTTTGAATGATTCTAACAATTTTGAATGACCTCCTGGAATGAATTGAATTTGAAGTACAAGGCCCTACTGTATTTATATATATTTTGTATGATTGCATATGTCATGTTGTTCTTTTGTGAAACATCTGAGAGAAAAAACCAGTAGTTAATGAAAAGAAAAAGTATTTTAAGGAAGTTTCTAAATCAATTTTTTTTCCATTCTAAATTTCATGTAAAGAATTATAATTCAATGTTTTAATTTGTATTTAAATTTGTATTCTTTGTAATTAAAACATTTTTGTTCCTTCAATTAAAAATTTATATATGCATTATCTGTTTAGGATAAAGATATTAGAACATTTATTTCAAATGTGTTTTATTTTTGAATGAGAAATTGGATTTAAATGATAGATTTAGAAGTATTTACTTTTGATTATTATTATTTGTTATTTTTCAAATGAAATAACGTTCTAAAACTATCTTCTATTTTAAGCTAACATAAACTGAATTTGAACACTTTGAATGAGTCATATTTTTAGCTTAAAGAAACAATTTACTAAAATTTTATAATTTTTTAAAAATCTTTTTGCCTTGAAGGAACTAAGAGGACCCTTTTTTCATGCTCATCATAGGTTTATCTAGGCCTACAATGGGATGATATGGCTGAGTAGTGAGGGACAAGACCTGAAATATTAGGATGGACCAACCCCCAACAAATTCTTGGGGTTTTTTAACTGCCCAGATTCAATCCCATGTTTTTCAGAGCAGTAGGCTGATGGTGATTAACCACCTCACAGCCTGTTTCATGCCACCTTCATAATTTCATAAATATAGAAAAAACAAAATTTAATGTTTAATTGTTAAAGTATAATTTGGTGTTGAAAAAAATTTATTCATGCATAAATTAATAAACAGCTTTTTATGAAAGTGAAATAAAAATGTATCTACATTTAAATGAAAATTTCTTCGTATAAATTAAACTTAAAATATGGTGTAAAAAAACAATACAGGTATCATCATTTTTTAAATATAAATTACAATTTTCTTACATGCAAATGAATTTACTTACACCATATTTTGAATACAAGCTTTCACAAGACTGACTTCTACATCAGCTTCTGCTGCAATTCGACTAACGTGTCGACAACCGTCAATATAAGGCAAAATCTATTAAGAATTCAGTAAAATTTAGTAAAAAATTATGCACAGTTTTTATTTATAATTACGAAATATATCAATTAAACATTTTCATAAAAAGTAATATGGATAAATTCACACAGAATGAAATAAATTTTTTATTTTTATCCTCGATATATCCCAGAATTGTTCAAGTATTGTTATACATTTATATATTAAAAAAATAATTTATAATTAAATTTAGAAAATAGTTTGAGAAATGTGCCATACAAAAGTTTTATTTTTGTAATTTATTACCACTATTAATTAGTAAAATAGAATTAAATAAAGCAAGGAAAAATAAATTTATAATATTAATATCAATGCTTTTAGAAAATGGCATAACTTTAATAATTTTATTCTTTATTAAATTATGTTAACCAATAAAATTGTAAAATAGTTTTAACAATATTAATGATTTATAAGTCTAAATACATATCAAATATATTTAGATTATAAGTTATAAAATGAACAAATCTGAGAAAACGTAAGAAAACTAATGAAGTGCATTTAAACATTAAATTATAGAAATAATTAATGTTTACACAGCAAAATCGTTTGTTGTTACTTAAAACTTCAATTTTAAAAAATATATAATATAAAAATTCAATATTTAAAGCATAAATAAATCAACTTTTTAGTAAATTAATTTGAAAAAATAATAGCTTAAATAAAAATCTGGCGTTCTTTAAATCAGTAATGAGCAACATTTTCTGGATGAAGGCTGCAAAGTGAACTTTGACGGCTTCTGGTGGCCACAGGCATTTTGTCTTACAGTTACAGGCTTTATGCTTGCTGACTACTAACATACTCTATAACCTCCAATACACTAGGTACTAAAATAATATATACTAATGTTATATAAAATAGTAAGGTATAGTTTATTTTCATTTTTTAACTGATCAAGTTTAGTTTGTATATTCTTTATCATAGATCTAAGCTTAATTAGCATGGAATAATGGCATGAGACAAAACAGGAAAATAAAATTACCTTACCAGCACCAGGGATCACAAATTAAGACCATGAATACTGTCAGTTGCTCATGACTGCTTTAAATAATATTAGACTTTTATTAAAATTATTTTTTGTGATAATTGTATAGTATAAACTGCAAAGTGTGTAAATATATATATATAAGATGTTCTAGGAATTTCTAAAAATCTTCTTTAGCAAATTCAATGAAACCAAAGCAGAGTGATTTCTTTTAGTAGCTAATTAAAAATTATAACCAATATATGAAGGATGAAGGTTAATAAAATTATTTTATTACAGTATTCTTACAAATGAAATATAAATTATATAAAAAAGTTTTATATAATAATATTTGATGTTGATAAAAATCAAGAAATTTATTTACAGTACATTCTCAATCCAATTTTTATATTCCCAGTTAGTATAAAAGCATTCTATCTGTATTTTTTTTAGCAAGAAAAAGTTTTTTGACTTTTCTTAAAAAGGCATTTTTAAATTTTACTCAGAAATTAATATTTTCATGACTGGGAAAAGGTCATTCAGACATGTTATGCATTTGGAAGTTAGCATTACTTATTGAGCTAACTTGAAATTTAAATTATTACATACAGAAAAATATTTTGTTTCAATTTCTATGTTAATGTGAGAGTATATAAGAAGAAGCAAGGATGTCGAGCTTGTACGGGTCCTGGGAGTAGAATGGGCCCCTTCTGCTTTTTTTTTTTAAAATAAATAAATGAAATATGTCAATTTTTTTTTATTAATAAAGAAATCCATCTTAAAGATTTTTTTTCAGTTAGTAAAAAAAATAATAATTTTATACAGGTAGGAACCACCATTAAGCTTTTTCCAAGCCCAAGGAAAGACCACCAGCACCTCCCTCCACAGCTGTGAGTAGAAGCTAATCTTATTTCACAAATAGATTTCCATTAACAGCTTTAACAGTTATACTTTTTCGTCAAGGATGCAGAAATAAATATATTGAACCACTTCTTGCTTCTTCTACATTTCAAAACTTGTTTTCAAAATTTTCATAAAATCATCAAATTCTACCATAGATAGAAAACCAATTAAAGGAGGGATTTTATACGATGTTACTTCAACAAAACTTTTAATATAAAAATATTTTCATTCATAACACCTTTTCAATACAGTATATTCTATTATTATGATTTAATTAGTTGTTGAAAAAACATGTAAAATAAGGTGTTATAAATTGAATTCTGATTTTGCATAGACTGAATGATTTCAATTAAAATTCATGAAATATAGTTTGATCTATATAATGCAATACCAACATGGCTAAAAAAAGTACTTACGTAAAGTACCATATTTAAAAAGAAAATTTATTCAAGCTGTAAAGCAGAGTATGTCCCCGCTTTGAAAAGTTTTTTGATAACAACATTGCAGGCTATCCTAGAAGGTTATCGATAGATAGGCTGAAACCCACATTCCTTTTAAGTGAAGAAGCCTCCTCCAGAACAGATCCTATGAGCACATTGACACCGGCATACTGCCAACATCCAACATTACCCGCCAAGACAACCGGAAGACAAACTTTATCAGGGTGCGTTATTCAACTCCCCGTACATTTTCTAGATGCAATCTACTTGCCTAGTGAGAGAGTGTGTGTAGGGCAGAGGTCTCCACTGTGTGACCTTCGCCCTCTGACCTCACTTTGCTCCTGTATTCTGACGAGGAGAGGCAGCTTTTCACTTCATGTTAGTTAACCTTTTGGAGTCGACAGCAGTGACAATCTTGGATTTGTATTATATCTCGACACTATTGTAAATATCGTGTGCCTGATTCAAATAAAGTAAATTATTCGCCTAGATCAGTTTCTCAGTTAATCTTTGCTGATAAACAAAGGACGCAGAACACGTGGTCGAGGTCAACGTGGACATCACAGACAAGGTGAGCCACAACCCAGAACAATTCCACCTAGCATCGAAACATGCCACGTACGGATTTTAGCTATGCTGCTAAAGGATCATTTGACAATAATAATCAATGTTAAAAACTGGTACAACTAAATCAACTAGAAAATAATTTTTGATTAAAAACAAAGCTATGTTTAGAACAAATCAAATATTTTTTGCAATTTTGAAATTTTTATGAAAATCTTATTTCTATTATATTTGGAATGTTACACTATATTACATTACACCACACTTTTTAAATTCAACTCTCTTCTTCTACTTGTTAAAGCAATATGGCTGACAAACAAAACTTAGAGACTTCAATTTAAAAATTAATGTCATTGGTTCATTTTAAATTTGGCACTAAGGATTTGATTTGAACTAATTTAGTTAAAGTTTAATAAATTTCTTATAGTTCTCTAAGGAATAGAAATAGTTCTCTATTATACTAGTAAACTAGAAAGTCAGAATGAGATTTATTATTATTGCCAATGTAATTATATCTAAACAAAAGTAATGCATTGATATTAATAATACAAGATGTCCAAAAAGTTTAGAACCAAATAAGATTTACTCTATGTAGGTTTTATTGTTTGTTCTACGTTAATCTCATTTAAAATATGATTCCAAGTGTCAATCCTAAAGCTCCATACAATTTCTTAATCACTAACATGTTTCTCTGGGTTCTTTTCAGCATATTGGAATCATCCACACAAATATATTTACCAATGCTTCCAGGCATTATGGACATCTGTAAAAAATCTATTATAATTTCTATCTAGAATGAATGATAGCTTTCAAACTGTTTTATAAAGTGATCAATACCTTAATTAAAATTAAAAAGTTTTGTATTTTATATATTTTAGTAGGACTTGAGTATTATATATTGGTTATTATTTTTTAATTATTTAAATTAAATTTTTTGAATTTTTTCTTTTAATGGCCACTAAAGAAAATTTTTATATTATAAATAATTTTTAAAAGAAATTTGTTATAAATGACTTATTTACGCTTTTTTTTTTTTTTACCTAAATTGATAAAAAAATATATATATGTTATATCCACAATTCACTATTAAAGTATATTATTATTCTTATAATTATGCATTCAATTTGATATATTTAGATATTAAAATCATCTAATAGCATATTTTCAAATTTATCAAATATTTCCAAAACTGAAATTGCAGAAAATAGCATTAAAAAGACATGCATTCTTCTATTTTATCTTGCACAATATTGTTAGTACTTAATAATAAAACAAAACAACACAATATACTGTATTTATCCAAATATAAGGCACATGTTTTTACAAATTTTGTCACTAAAAATTCTATGCACCTTATATTCAGGGAATTTTTTTTCCTCTTTTTGAAGACGTGGCAAGTGGCACCATTCATAGATACTTCTACCCTCTGTCAGTTTGAATATTCTATTACCAGCATCTAGAGAAAAATTTTCAAGACATTATCACTTATTTACTAAAATTTAACAGAATATATCATTGAATAATTTTTGATTGACATTATGAAGGGCACTGAAAACCATAAATCATTAATTAAGATTAATTTTTTCACAAGCCAAATGCTGCAGTCATACCTGCACAAAGAAACACTATGTGACACAACCTTGAGTCACTTTCCCTGCATCAAGCCTTTGATCAATTTTAGCTTTGGTATTCACAATACAACATGGTATTGCAGAAGGTAGAAGTTCATTTATATAAGCAAATCAGATTTTGTCCAATTTTTTTAAGAGTTATGATGCAATATTTAAACTTTTATTGTAAAATATGTCATTTAAAAAATTTTTGTTCTATAAGAATTTTGGCATTAAATTTGTTTTCTTGAAAAGTTTATAAGTACAAGCAATTACTTTTGACATTTCAAAATGTCATCTTCAGGCAAAGTGTGCACAATTTTTTTTTAAAAGTTTGTTAAAAGATTCCAAATATATGGTTTAAATCTTAGTGTGTAGTATTTTACAGAGATTTACTGTATCCATCTGTTCCACACTTTGATGCTGTTATGCTCAAAAATACACTAAGTTATTATATCCAACAAATTTTTGATACAAGGGAGGCCCACCTCTTGATTACAGAACTTAATTATTTCCAATTTTTATTGCAAAAATGGTGTACTCACGAGCTCCCCATTTTGATATTTTAGCTAAGTTGATGAGAAATACTGAATCTAAAGTTTTCTCCACCCTTCTTGCAATACATTATCCTGCTTGCTATCTTAGATATGTATTGTGTTGTTCGGAAAGTAATTTAATTTTTTTATTACTAAAGGAATTAGATGTATTTTTACCAGCCAATTTCATTTTAAACCACATTTTCATTATATATTTTGACAGCTGACATTTAAAGGCTTATTCGTAAAAAATTTTGTTTGATTCTGCACAATTTTTTTTTTTTTTTGGTGTCCCATCAAATATGGAAAATCAAAAGCATCATTTTTGGCATATTTTGCTTTTTTATTACCAAAAAATCAAAATGCTGTTCAAGCAAGAAGAAAATTGTGGTACATGTATGTAGAAGATGTGTTGAGAGAGAGAGAGAGAGTGCCAAAACTGGTTTATAAAATTTTGTTTCTGGCAATTTCAATATTGAAGATGCACCACATTCTGGACGGCCAGTTGAAACCAATGAAAACAAAATAAAAGGTACTGATTGAAGCAAACTGCTGAATAACAACTCGTGAAATCACTAAGTGATTAAATTTGTTGAATTGAACTGTTTATGATTACTTGAAACAAAACCAATTCGTTTCAAATAATCATAAACAGTAATCATCAAGCTCAATATATGGGTTCCACATGTTCTTAAAGAGAGATGCTCTCTTTGGTGGGATTTTATGGAAATTTTTTTATTGAGCTTTCACCAGAAATTTAACAACTGATTCAAAAGTGTACTGCCATCAAGTAAACAAACTGAGTAATATCATCAAACAGAAAAGGCCAGAATTGATAAACAAATCAGGTGTAGTGGTAACTCATCAGAAACTGTTGCAGCTTAGATGGGATGTGCTATCACACCAACCATATTCGCCAGATCAGGCACCCTCAGATTATTACTTGTTGTGGTCTTTACAAAATTTTTTAAACTGTAAGACATTTACTTGAAATGAAAATGTCAAAATTTACTTGGATCCGTTTTTTGTAAGTAAACATCAAAACTTTTATAAACGTGGAATCATACTACTAACAGAAATAATGGCAACAGGTATTTGACCAAAATGATCAATATATAATTCAATGAAATATTTATTTATTAAAAAAATATGTTTTTTGTCACTGAAAAATCAAAATTACTTTCCAAACAACCCAATAGATGATATCCTAAGTGTCTGGGAAGGTTCTTTTGAAAAATTGCTAATCTTTGTAAAATTTTTATCTAATGTTTATCCCTTGATTTCCTTCTCCATCATAAAAAAAAAAAACAGAAAAATTTTCTTCTTAGATCTTTCCATACATAGGCCACTATTCATCTTTATTACACAGTACACCATAAATTTGGTTTGTCTCCATACATCATACCAACTATTTCTTTTCAGGCACCTGGGTACATAAATGCCATTATCTCAACCCTTATTCACAGGGCATATTTATACCCTTTGTCTCTTTTATTAGTGCATGAGGAGTTATAACTGGTGACAGTAACAGTATCCAATGCAGGGTACTCGCAGAATTTAAGTATATTAATAATCTGGTCTGCAGACCTCTCTTTCCACCCACTGCTTCACACACAATTGACAATAAGAAATATTTGCACAACCTTCTATTCTGTATTAGGGGCTGTTACTCTATATATATAGTTCGTACTTTCAATAAACAAAGTTATGTTTTCCATCAAGCCTCAACTATATCTAAATAGAATTCTTTGTAAATATAAGGATAGTCTTAACTTTTTAAAGAAATCAGAAGTCTACATGATCCCTTTGCAGCAAATGTGTAAAGGATCAAAAATCTTTTATATAGGAAAATATCTATCTATAATTATATCTATGGAAAATTAGCATATCATTTTCAAGAATACAGGGATGACATTAATAATATTGGGATTACTACTGACCTTGCAAGAAACATATTAGGGAATAATTTTATATCTGTATGGACTGAACACTCCCTCCTTAAGTGATATTTAAATTGCAAAACCATCTTTCTCTGGGAGTCAATACACATAATGTTAGAGCCCTGTAACAAACCCACTCTTGAGCTACTAAAGATAAGGATTACATTTTACAAAATTTTAAAATAATTGCATATATATTTATTTTATTCGTGTACTCATTGATAATATGTTTCCTATTTATCTTAAGTTAATTTTAAAAAATTATATTGCATCTTTTTGAATTTCTGTAAAATACTATGCATTAAAATTTAAACCACATGTTTGGAATCTTTTAACGTATTTTACAAAACTTGTAGTTTGAATATTATGTATGCGCTGCCTGAAGATGACAATTTGAAATGTTGAAAGTACTTGTTTATAGTTAAAAACTTTTAAAGTAAATGATTTTAATGCCAAAAGACAGTGTAATTAATTTATTCTTATTTTAAGTTTGGTGTTATTAATGAGTATATTTTTATATAATTTTTGCTTTGAAAATTGGCTTAAAAAAAGTGCATCTTATATTCAATAAAATATTTTTTTCCTGAAAATGGATTCAAAAAATATGAGTGCACCTTTTATTCAAATAAATACAGTAGTTAAAAGTATCATTATGTAAACTGAATACAAATAATATAAATTTAGATTACATAATGAATTTTAAATTGCTATTAATAAATGTACAATATTTTGACAAATATTTATTATACAAACTTTATTAGTGAAAAAATTCATTATTTCTTATATATTTTAAATCTTGTACTTATACAGCACATATACTGTATGATTTTGTAACTTACAATCTCAAAAATCATGTTGTATTATTTTTTTGAGATTATTATCAATATTTAAATATCTCTTCTTATTAGTATACAGAATAATTTTAATAGTTATAGTTATTACATATTATTCATGTATCAATTACTTTTTATGAACAACAGAGAAAAGGGAATACTCTGAAAAACAGGCAAGTTCAAAAATCAATTAAAATTATATTATTAGAGAAGCAAATTTAATTCTCATAAAAAAAAATTATAAATATATTTCTTTAATCAAGTCTTCATTTTTCTTTTCAACTAATCAAATACCTATGTTTGATAAAAGCATATGATTATCATTGTCTTTTATTAAAGAAAGAATCTGCTTAATGCTCAGTATCTTCTTTTCCAGTATGTCCTGTGATGATGCAAGTTCTGCTTATTTACATGTGTTCTATTTTTTCCAGTCCTGAGCATCACTAGGTCATATGCCCACAAATTTTGTATCTTTATTAATTTGATCGGTCATTCTTGGGACTTCCATGGATGCATATTCTCTCTAGATTGTATCGGAGGACCACAATGATAAATGAGACCATTTTAATATGATGTGAATAAGGATAGATTAAAACACAAACATAATTAGAAAATACTGAACTTATATATCAAACAATACTGTTGAATAAATATTAATATAATTATAAATTTATATGTTTATAATTTTACATCTTATATGAAAGGATAAAGGGCCAGGTGTAGGTCTTCTCAGAAAATTGATATTTTGATGATATTACATCAAGTCAATTATTGTATCTTTCTTGCTTATAAATATTTTGACTGTAGATATAATTTCCATAATGTATAATTTAAAATAATTTAGCTTTAGAGTTCTGCTCATAATATGAGTAATTTTTTTTTTTATAAATTGTTCCATAATTTATGTGATTTGTTGTGATATTATTGCTGACAATGTCTTCTTATGTATCATCTTCAGAATCAAATTGCAGATTCTATCTGGATACTTTGTTCTCTAATTCTCAAAACTCATTGTTGCCAACATTCTTGCAATGGGACTGGAACAATTTCTGAATTATGGATTACTTCTTTAAACTGAAAAGTTCAAGAATTTTCTAGAGTACTACAATTTGCTATTCTGAAAAAATCATGATTTTACCAAACATACTATAATGAAACAGCATTGAATATAGTAGTATTAGGCAAATTTTTATTGTATATACATTTTTGGACTTGCACTATTTAACAGAAAATTGATCAGTTTAAACAAAGAGTTAACTACTTTTTAATCTGTAAAAGATTTATTAATTAATTTATTTATTTTTTCAATTGTATAATTCTATATGCTTGTTATGAGAATTTTAAAAATAAAAATATTTGTCAAAAGTACTTAAATAGTATTTAACTAATAAATTATTAGTCAATGAACAAAACAAAACTACAAATACAAGTAAAAACTATAATTATTAATTTTAAAGTAATTTAGCTAAACAGAATTCATTTAATTAAAGAGACGAATTATAAAATGTTAGTATGGAGCAATTGCAAGCAGTGATTTAAAATTTTCTTTTTTAATATTAGAAGCACATCAAGCAAGTATTAGTCCAGTAATGTAGATTAACATCCATATAATGTAATGAATCTTACCTGCATTAAAGTGAGGTCCCACTGTGGGATAGCATATAGGAACATAATATTTGGTTATTTAGTTTGTGATATTAAATATAATAAATTAACATAGAATTAAGCAAGTTTGTTATTTAAAAAGAATGAAAATTATAATAAATGTATTGAATTAGCTTTATTTTCATCAATTAATAAGTACACCCAGTATTATAATAACAATGAACAATTTTTTATCGTGACATTATCACAATACTGGGCTGCAATTTTTAATTATCTTTTAACTTTAAAAAAATCACATTACTTCTGGTCTGGACCAGAAGCTCTAATATAGTTAATTGGGATCTCTGACCCCCCCAAGCTTTCATATTTGATCTGGATTTTAGTGGTGTCTTGCCCCTGTACATCATATTTCTGCTGATAACAATCAAGTCGTGCCAGTCTTCTAACTCTGTTCTTGAGGAAATTTTGAATTGAAATTAAGTGACTTCCAATCCAAATTGGAATTCTGTATATAGTTAATCAAGACATCTGGTGCTAAGTTCATATCAGTCTGATTTTCATATAGCTTACTCCATTCTGAAGATTAAAGAAGGCCAGACAGACATATGACAGTGGGAATATATAGGTTTTAATTTGAAGACTGCGGCCAGTAACTTTTTATTACATTTTGTCATTAGATAAAATAATCTAAAATAAATAATGTGTTTATTTCTAATTTTTTATTAGTTTACTTACACCTGACAATCTATTTTTATTTATCTATTATATAGTAGCAATCTATTCCTGCATTCCTTCAGTTGCAAATATTGCATTGTCCTTTTATTACACTGTCCACTATCTGTGGAAATTTTTCTATAGAACAATATGATTATGATGAAGGATATTTTGTGTTTAAAGTTTACTAATAAATGAATAAGCTTAAATAAATTTAAAATATTTTGTCAATAGCACAAATTTTCAAGTCTCAGAATATGCAAATTCATTAAAACATTATCTTTGTAGTATACTGATGACTCAATATGTTTTAATTACATAAAAACTAAAATCATATTCTAAATATACAATCTATTACTCAATTTACAAAATATTCATGCATTGTACATAATATAAAATGATAATAGAAAAAAGATAATTCAGTATAAATGATAAAAAAGTACTACAATTCATTACTTTATTAATGATAATTGTTATTCACTAAAGCATTTAGATTATTAATGATGATCATTAACTAAAAAATGTTTAATATTTTTTTTTTGTTTTTAACTCTTTTCTCCCTATGAGCACTAAGAGGGTCTTTTATTTTCCCCATACCCATCATGTGTTTGGCCAAGCCCACAATGGGAAATAGTGAGTGATAAGTTCAACAAATCCAAGACAGATCATCTATAAAAATTTGTGGTGTTTATTGACCATTCAAATTTGATTCCTATTCCATCAGAGCAGTAGGCTGATACCTTAACTACCTTGGTCATCTGACCATTAAAATTTTGAGATTATACATATCAGTTTCAGAAGAAATGAAAAATGTTTAGTAACAAAATGATAATAAATACAGATTCTATGATATCAATACCAGTTTAATCCTTCAATTATTCAAATCAAATCCATATATTTTTATCTAATAGTATTTGAATTTGATGCTGATTAGATCTTTTGATATTGTTGACACAATTTTTCCATCAATTGAAAAAACTTAATTTTCAATGGATTTTTGCAGTTTTAGACTTGAAAAATACAGAAGGATTTACTGATAAAACAGACTGAAAATCTGTCAGTTAAAAAACAAATCTCATTATTCACATTGAGAAAATTTTCATGAAAAACGTATAATAATATGAAGAGTTTTGTTTATCTCTTCATCATCCGATTATTATTATAAATATTTTTGTTAATCAAAGTAGTATACTAAACATACAGACAGAATTATTTCTAATTCTACCTATTATGATTTTGTAATAAAAATTTCAAGCTAAAAGTTAAAAACTGCCACTAATTCACATCTTTTCAGAATAATACATTTTTCTTTTTTGATTTTGGACTATTGAAATTGAATGTTTCAATCGTTATTGACTGAGTTAAAAACTTTAAATTGATATTATTTTACAATTTTGAAATGCTAATTAATCAAATGTGAAATTTTTTAATTTGTAATTTATATTGTTTATAAAATACACGAGTCAAATGATAAGTATTTTATTAATTATAACATTATCAACTATTGTAAAACCGTATGATTAATCCTAAGATAATTTACAAGCGATTAATGCCATTTGCTCTATTTTTCATGTAAACACTGGTTAAATACTGGGTATATTTATCAAATGATTCAGTTTTAAAAGTTATGAGCAATATATATTTGTATCATTATCTAAAAAAATTTAAGATATAAAATCATTGAATATTTTAAAGAGAATTAAATATATTATATTATATTTAGTTTTATAAAATGTAATAATATAATACCTTAAGAAATTTTTTAACATACAGTACATATTAAATAATAATATCTATTATACTTAAAAATTTAAATAGTACTTTTACAGAAAATAACAATTATTCTAGTAGACTTGAAATCATATTTCCACCAATTTTTTCTTTAAATAAAATTTGTGAATGAGTAATTGTAGTCTGATCTGATTATTTATAAAAGAAAATCTCAAAATTAAAAAAAAAATCTTATTAATTTTCAAATATCAATTTAAATAAATTATTTATCAACATTAATCTTCGCAAAAGGTTTTTTATGAAATGTCTAAATATTGTTCAAATTTTAAATTTATGAAGAATAAATCAAAAAACATTCATAAAATTTAATAAATAAAAGCTCAACCATATGCAAAATTATTTCATTTTTCAATTAACTCTGATAAATGTTAAAATATAATAAAAATTTGATTACAGTATTAAATTTTGTGTTATGTAGTTCATTAAATATGCATCAATATACAAATATATTGTGAACAACAAAAAGACATTCTAAATCTGTATTATTTAATTCTAAATCTGTATTATTTCAATTTTTCTATGTACATCATAAAAAAGATAGTCAATTTAAACTTAATTATATTTAAAAGTACTATAATTCAATAATTGTTTAGATAAGTTATTTAATTAGTAGCTGTTCAGTTTAGTTCTTTAATTAGGTTTTAAACGAAAAACTAAACTTTAAAATTTATAAATTGCATTTTTCAAAGCTAAATATATATTTTAGACGATAAAAAAATTTATTAAGTAATATAACATACAGTTGAGTGGACAGCTTTTCATTTTCTAAACAATTTTTTATACATAAACTCAACAAAAGATTAAAATGATTCATTTTTTAATATGTTCATTATTATAAACATTAATAGTCAATTATTTACAAATTGAAATGTATGTGATTAATCAAATATCTTTAAATCAGGACATATTTAAAAACACTTTTAAAAAAAACAATCCATCTATTTTCATATAAATATTTTGGTCTTTTTTTCTTGTTCACAACGGATTCAGCAAGTCCTAAAATTAGGCAGCTGGGTGGTGAGGGACAGATCCTAATGTATCCAGCTCAAACTACTTGTGAAAATATCTGAGGACCCAACCCATATATGAAGCCAAATACCCAGAGCAGATAACTTTAACTACTTCAATGATATGGTTATCCAGCAACTAACATAATTATATTATTATTAATTATTATTTGATTTAACAAAAAAAATTATATAATTTTATTGCCAAACTTATAAAAAAAATTATATTAAAATTAGTTAATTTTATTAAATAAATAAAATAATAATGCAAAAATTTTAAATGTTTTGAACATAAATTTTCAAAAAATAGGGACATTTGACATAGACCTTTATAAAAATTATATCTAAGTATTTGTAATAACTTGATAAAAACTCAATTTTATATATTCTAAGATTATAACACTTAGAATTTATCAAAAATTCAGAAACTATTTCATTAAAAAAAAAATCTGTAATTGAGAATACAATTGAAATAATATGAATTGAGATTTATGGTTGCAAAAATATATATATAAATGATTTAAACTATAGTATTATTACATTTTAAAAGTTAAAATTAAATATGTTTTATCTGATTATTGCAAAAACTTTCAAAACAAAATTAATTATATATATATATCAATTAATTACATAAAGTATATTTTAATTAATATACTAATATGAATCTACAATAAATAAAATAAAAAAAGAAAATGATTTTAACCTGTTGTGTAGTAAGATCCCATTGACTTGGCAGAATACCTTTTTGACTTTCATTAAATATTGGGACATCGTGATCTCTTACAGGAACCGGATCTTTATGAACTCTTATTACTTTAAGATAAATAGTATTTGCTTCATCTAACAATAAAAATAATTTTTATATTAGAAAAAACATATACATTACAATTATTATTACATTTATACAGGATATTTAAATCATATCTTTTGAAATAAAACAATAAATCTTACTAATAGGAACAGAACAGTGACCATTTTGATTCAATTCAGTCCTAATTTGAGACATTATAGATGGTAGCTGTGCTTTTGTTTCTTCGTTTGATAAAAAACTACATTCTAACTATAATATAATTGAAAATCCTTATTATATTTATTTTTAATTTGAACTCATATGTAATATAAATTTTAAATAGCAAGTCTTCACTTAACATTGTCAATAGGTTCTTGGAAGCTGTAATGTTACACAGAACAACATATAACAATTTCAATTTTAACACGGGCTAAATAATATAAACAAAATATAATTTAGTTAATATTATTCTGATTGGATCATGTTTGCAACCTCCAACATTTATTTTCCATGTCATAGAATCAATTTTACTGTTTATAAAGAAAATTAAACAATAATAATTATAAATGATTACAAATGTACTTGTCTCTTTTCTCAATATTATGATGAAACAACATTAAATGAAATGACATTAAGTGAGGACTTGCTGTGTATTATATTAATTATTATTATTTAAATATAGCTATAAATGAACTATCCAAATTTTAAGTCACATATTTTATTTATTAAAATATAATTTGCTATAATATTACTTTAATGAATAAAATTATTAAAAAATTTGTATATCTGAATTTATCATTAGTAGCAGCCAATATTCACATTCTTTCTGACTTTTAAAAGCATTTTTTTAAACATTTAATACTCCTTTTTTAAGTTAGGAAATAGTCAAAAACTGAAAACTCATTAAAATTTCTTTCACTTCCAAAATTTATTTTATTTATTTAAAACCCATCTAAAATATAATTTTATTCATTTTGTCTGCCGAGACATTTTCATAGTGAAAATCATGGAACTAAAACTATTTGAACCATTTATTTTGAAAGTGGACAAGCCTATTTTTGAAACAATGAAGGTTATGATAACAATAGATAAAACTTAATATGATCTATTCATCTGTAAACTATCTCTAGTTAAAATAATTCAAAATACTTAATATTTTGACAATAGACATTCTGCAAACATATTTATTTTAAAAGTAGTGAAAGTCAATCTTGGATTGAAATTAGTTTTAGTCAAATACTTTATGGTATAATTTAGTTCCAGTAAAATTGGTTAAATATATACTGGACTAGATTTGCAAGAAATGCACCATATAAAATATTATGTAAAATGAGATTCAGAATTTAAAATTCTTGGTTTAAATCACCATAAAGAGGAAGACAAAGTAATTTTGGATATATAAAATTACTTTCTGTGTATGAAGAAACTAAGCCAATTACTTGTAATAAAAATGAAAACCATACACATTTTCCCAGCAAAAGGGGTTTACAATACAAACTTTTTCAGTTTATTTTATAAACATGCCTTAGGTTTCACATTACAAAATTCAGAGATTTCAAATTTTAAATATTTATTCATTATTTAAAATTATGATATTTTATTTAAATATTTATTCATTAAATGAATAAATATTTAAATAAAATATCATAACATTTTACAAAAGTAAACACTGCATTATTATTCAGTTGTAAAGTAGTAGTTGTTAATCATAATATTTTGTTGTTATTGTAAATAAGCTGATAAAGTTTTAGTTCAAACCACTTAATTAATGTTTACAATAATTTATTAATTTTGAAAGTGAGAAGTCCATTTGAGTGTAACAAAATCTTCATTTTGTCCAGCCTAAATTTACATTATCTAACTTTAATTATATCCGACTCACCAAATAAACCATATCTATGGATATGGTTTATTTGGTGAGTCGGATATAATTAAAATTAAATAACCAGTTTTTTGAAATACAGTATATTACATTATCTAACACCACAAAATACACAACAGTTGTCTATTAGCTCTTACCAATTTTTTAAAATGTATTGAAATGCAACCCCTTAAATATATTGCAACAACAAATAATGAACTTGTACCACTTTCAAAAAAATGGCTCATTTTAAAATTTTAAGTATATAAAATTTCAATATGAATAAAGTAAATGTATTCAATTATAGCTAAAAATTTCAATCATATCAAGAGTATTTTGCATTCTTCAGTAGGAGAAAGTTTATATTTATTAGAGATTGTCACACATACAAATAATTTTGTTTAAAAAAAATTAGTAAATAATAATTTCTTACCTCTAATGTAACTAAATAATTGGCTAATTTCCTAACAAGTGGTTCATACTGAACTGTTCTCATCAGTGCATCACATACAAAACACAAATTAAAAATGTAGCAGTTCCTCATATACTTAGGATCATCTATTCCAATTGGATATCCAATAATTTTGTATCCCATAGCATTTCTATATAAAATATGAAATATGTATTTATTTCTTTAATAAAAAAATTAAATTTAATATATAAGCAAATTAGTATTGAATTTAAACATTCTTTTAATATCAAAATTAAACACACTATATAATTTCATATCAGTTAGCTTGACTTTTTTAGTTTATAATTATTAATAATTTTATTGTTTCTTTATGAAATGTGATAGAATAATAAAACTTTATACATTCGATTTCATTAGTGTACAATTTCTAATATACAAATATATGTCTTATTGTTATGTATTAGAAATTTATCTGAAATAAAAAATGATTTGTTTCAAGAAAATCTGTTAAAAATATTAATAATGAAATCTTTAACTCAAAAACATTTTACAGTGGGTGATCGGTTAACGAACATAATCTGTTCCAAGACTTTGTTCGCTATCCAAATTGTTCGTTAACCAATTATCGATTTACCATAGGTTTCTATGGGAATTTGATTAATTCGTTCTGGATACCCCCCAAAAATAAAAAAGTATATACTTTCTTACTACATTTATTCATATGTATAAATAATAATAAAAATACATATATACACGGTCTTGCATTTTTATTAGTCATGTTTTTTTCTGTTTGTGGGGGTTAAAGAATCTGTCCAATGTCGATTGCTTTTCTGTCTTATTCGTGATTTTTCAGAAGTAATTAATAGCATTGTAATTGTAGAGATCCCTAGGCCTATTAACCTCAACTTGGTTTGGATGCCATTTTAAGACCGTTGTTCTGACATCCTCCTACTTCTTCAAAAGATCTTTAATAGCAGATATCGGCATAAATCCGCATTTTCAGAAGAAAACGTAAAAGAATTGTTTCTGTCAGAAATACAAAAGGCTGGAATTACAAGGGAGAGTTTCAAAGTTCGGGGGAATACTATCCGATCAGTATATACTGGGTAGAACGTCGATGTCGACGTCTCCCGGGCTCCGAAAAGTTTGAATTGTTGCCTGAAGACAAAGGAAGACCAATCGGTATTCGTTATTTTACGTCGCTTCTTGTGTTTGTTCAGTGAAGTGTTTGTTATCTGAACATGTGTTCGTTGTCTGATCATAAAAATCCTTCTCGAAAGTGTTCGTTATCCGATTTGTTCGTTAACCGATCTGTTCATTAACCGATCACCCACTGTATTATTTTCTTTGTAGCATTGAAATCTGTATTACTGAATAATAATAATCTAAAAAATGGATATTAATACTGATAAAATATACAAATATTACAAAAGTTTTTAAATAACTTGAAATACATCAAATCACAATACCACCTAATGTTTACTGAGCAAAAAATTTACTTATTACACTAACATTTTCAACCTCTTTTTAGTATAGGCTATCCTCAGGTTTTAGAATAAATATCTTAGACTCCAATTAAAAATTTTAATCTTCTAAGTATAAAAATAAGGATTTTAATAAATGTTACATTAACTTTATAAATTGTTTACAGGCAATTTTATAACTTAAAGTAATGGACTAATTAATCATTAAAATTACAAAATAAATTTCAATATTTAAATATATTTATAATTATCATTGAAAGTTGTCATAGTTTTTATACGATATTTAAAATACATGGTGTTTGGCTCAAAATTACCTGCTTTTAATTCATCATAGAAAAATGAATGGTTTAAGATATAAAAAAACAACAAGTAGCATCTAGAGGGAAAACTCATCAAGGTTTATAGAGATGTTTTTTTGTACTTCAAGATGGTGCAGAAGTCAAATCACAAGCATTGAGTCTAGTCATGACTATGCCATAGGAGAAAGTTCAGTTTGTGGTCTGGTATGCCAAGTAGCATGACTACCAAGATCTCCTGATCTGACCCTCTTAGATTTCCTTCCATCAGAGTTATGTAAAAGATATGATTTATGCAACTTCAGTTAGAGATCTTTCAGGACCTTTGAGAATGCATCATTGCAGCCATCACCACTGTGAGACAGGACAAGGTGTACCATACACAATAGGAAATTGTCTACTGCCTTGTTACCATAAATGCTGAAATACACATAAAAATGTGATTTGTTTTCAATGAAATTTGGCGAGTTTTTCTCTCATATAAAATCTGGTGAACCAATAGTCTGAAATTCCAATTAACCAAAACAAAAAAAAAAAAAAAAAATCTGAATATCTCTCTGAACAAAACATATGGCTGTCATTCTTACCTCATTGTCAATAATATGTAGTGTGTAAAAACTCAAAATAAATTAAAAATTTGTAATCAGAATAGAAAACTAAGACTAGTCTCTCATCACTTCCTTACTATATGGTCATACACTTACTCACGGAAAAGTGTCAAAAACCAAATATACATAAACTTAGTTTGCCACCTTGTCATCTCACTATCAAGCTGGCCCTGCTGGTGTCCAGGGCCGGCCCGAGAAATAGTGGAGCCTGATGCAAGGCTGTCATGCTGGGCCTTTTAATAAAAAAAATAGCAGTTTCAAACAACAAAATAATATTTTAATGGTAAACATACCATTCGTTAAATAGATTAGTGAAAGTTAGTTAAATCTTCTTACTTCAAACCAAATAACTGGAGCAAAGTGAAAGTTAGTTAACCTAGTGAATAATGAAATGATCAATTTTTAACTTTTGCGAGAATTAGATTCTGCACAATCTAACTCTCATGCCTTGTGCAGTCGCACCGTTTGCACAACCCACCAGCCGACCCTGCTGGTGACCATCATCCTGATATAATACAATGGAAAAAAGAATCAGAAATAAAGAATACTGTAAATGGAAAATGAACCATTTAACTACCAAATTTTGGTTTTATCCAAACTGTTTTAATAAAAACCACTTTATTACAACAGAGTATTGAGAAACCCCATACTAACATGAAAAAAATAATTTTAGATAATCTGAAACACTCTCTGATCAGGATGGATTCAGGCCCCAATTAGTTCAAATTAGCAAGGTTCTGCCATAATAAGAAACTGCTATTTTGAAATTTATAAAAAAATAATTGTTTTATTAATTTATAAACTGTAAATACTAATAATCAAACAATGAAATCATACTTTAAAGTTTGGAGAGAAGTGCACGTGAATCGGAGACCATATAGGTATATGCGTTAAGATGGCAATTTAACGAGTGATGGATCCGTTCTTCTAATAAGAGCATTGGGAATCTGACTTTATCGATTACTGGACATAATTGTTGACCAGGTTTGTGTATTTTAGCAAAGGCGAAAAGGCAGGACGTGTCCGGGGAGCTAACTATTCTATGCCGAAGGCGTAATGCCGCTGCTAGGCCAGTGCCTGTGAACTTACCGACACAACTTTGTAGTTTTGTTATTTAAGAGGCATCAAGATATGAAATCATATCATTATCATAGGAAGAATTGATGTATTTATATATAATTTTACAATTAGTTTATTTTCATACTTACACAGTTATTAACTTTCCATGTAATTCAGGTTTTGGAATAATATACACACTCAGAGCATCAAATATTTCTTTAGATACATAATCTTCTGGTGTCTGTAAAGAAAAATAAACAGAATTACTTTAATTTCTGAAAAAAAAACATACATATTATAAAAATTAAAATTAAAACACAATTCAAATACTTAAAAATACAGATTAAACTCAGAATTTAATTTTTAATACTGAATCACGAGCATTAATAATTTTTATATATTCTTAAAATTCTATTTACTGCATATGTAAAACATATACAAATTATATCTAACTTGAAATGTAATTTTAGGACCGGCTGTGGTGTGAAATTCGCTATAAAATATGCATTTTATAGGGCTTTCGGCCGCATTGTATTTAAGACATTCCATTTCTCGTTGCCGCTAATTATCAGCTGATCGTAACGACGTCATGCGATTTAATTCAGAATATTCTTTGATTAATTATATTCACGAATTGTCTTCTACTTTTTTAAAATTATTTATTTTTAATTGTTTTTAATTATGATAATATTATTTTAAAAATTTTTAATGAAAAGAAAAATTTTATATTTATTATTGATATTCTGTATTATTAGTTTTTTTTTTACAAGTGGCGCTTTACAGTTCTCGTGGTTGCCAGTAACTAAGGTCCTAGAATATTCTAGGACCTTGGTCAGTAACTTCTGGAATAAAAATACTGTTTAACAATTTAAAGAATAAATTTCGTGTTGAAAAATTTTAAGGTTTTACCCCAAAAAAGTCAATTAAAAATTTTAATTTTAATTAATTTTTTTTAATTTTTAAAAAATTAATTTTGTTTCATCAACTTTAAGAATTCGTGTTTCATGACCCACAATGGGAACGACAAAAAAACACTCATGAAAAATTCCTGGAGAGTCGCTACTCAAATTCGAACCTGGGCCCTTTACAGCGAAAGGTTAACGGCTAATTATTTTAGTATACAGTAGATCCCCCTATAAGACGGTAGATACGTTCCGTTCTTTATGAATCAATTTTGTAGGAATCACAGCCAATCACAGCCCGACACGTGTGAAGTTTACGGACTACGGCTGTTTGAAAGGTTTTATTCCACAAAATTAATCGATTCTAGACTAATCCGACTCAACATTTCCAAAATACGTATATTTTTTTTTTTTTTTACATGATCACAGCCAGAG